ATTTGGGAGATTTGAGTTCAGCTGAGTGCTTTACTCGAGACTTCCAGTGCTTTTCAGCAGATTACTTGATTTCTTTATGCTTCCGATACTAATCTACAAAAGGAAGAAAATGGTTTTATTCTTCTACCAGGAATATTGTGAAGATAAATACTTTAAAGGCCTTGTAGGGACCGATGCCCACCTCGCTACGACCTCCTTTCAGGCAGTTGCAGAGGGTGATAAGGTCTCACCTCAGCTGCCTTTCCTCCAGGCTAAACAACCTCAGATCCCTCAGCCGCTCCTCATAAAGCTTGTGCTTGACCTTTCACCACCTTCGTTGCTCTTCTCACCAATGCCTCAATGTCCTTGTAGTGAGGGGCCCAAAACTCAACACAGTACCTGAGGTGTGGCCTCACCAGTGCCAAATACAGGGTAAGGATCACTTCTGTGGTCCTGCTGGTCTGTTGTCGTTTAGGGCTGGACTGGAAACTAAATGCTGGACAGACGCTCTCTATTAACCCCCCTCCCCAGAAGGGAAGAGAAAAGAGAATAAGGGAGAGAGACTTTATGGGTTGGAAAATAAAACTAACAGATGTAATGAAACAATAATACTAATACTACAGGATAATAATGTAAATAGGAAAATAATGGAATACATGCAAATATGTACAAATATATGTGCAAAACCAATATAAAATCCTCCTCCCCCACTTTCCCCCAATGATGATTACATCACCAGAGGCTCTGCGGAGCAGGGCACTAGAAAAGTCCCAGACCAGACTCAACAGCAGGATGCAGAACACACAAATCAGGATCAGAGGCAGGCAAACTAGCAGGGTTCTGCTCGGAATTTGGCTGTTGCAGGATCAAGACGGATGGAAGGGTCCAAGATGGAAGGGCTCCAAGATGGAAAGAGGGATTGAGACCCTTGTGATCCCTTGGCTTTATACTGAGTATGACGTATGTGGGATGGAATACCTCGTTGGTCAGTTTTGGGTCTGCTCCCTTTCCTCCGTAGCTGCAGACACGGCACCCATTGTGAGACATGCGGCCTTGAGATTATCACACTGTCTGGAAAAACATGCTGCTAGTTTCAGCAAGTTCAGCCACTTAGAAGAGATTGAGCTGAAACGTAAAATCACGAAATGGAAAATTAATTCTATTTAGCTCAAACCAGGGCATGGTCACACTGTTTCTGATGCAGGCCAGGGTGCTGTTGGCCTTCTTGGCCACGTGGGCACACTGCTGGCTCGTGTTTCGTCAGCCGTC